AAAAAAAAAAAAAAACACGCCAAAATTGAAAAAAAGAATCCCAAAACTTGGAAACAATATAATTTTGAATTTAATTAAACATAATGAACGGTTATAAAAATCATAGTGATTACAAAGTATGTTTAATTTTAGAATTCCATATAAATTGGATTGTTTACAACAAAAAGAGGTTATGTGAAAATTGGGATTATTTACAGGAAAACAAAATCGTGTTACTAACTTATATGTTAGGTAATTAGAAATAAAAATGTATCCATAAAAACATGTACTTAAAAAATTGTAATTATTAAAAAAAAAAGTTTTATGTCATGTCCAAAAGTATTAATACACGTGTTATAAAAAAAGTCAAATATCAAATATAATTGTATTCATACATTTTCCGAATAAAATTTTATGCAATATTATGTAAAAAAAAAAAAAAATTAAGTGAATAGTATTCATTATAAGAAATTGAGCCGCATTTTTTGGAAATGTTTATACCAAATTAATTACTGAAAATCTCCCGCATTTTGTGGGCATTTAATAGCTGAACGTGAAAAAAAGAAAAGGGAAAAGAAGTTGCCATTAATAGAAAATAATTAATGAAGAAAGAGATTTGACCAAAAATTGACCTGCCATTTTTGAAAAATGATAAATCTTTTTATATATATAAAGATAGAGAAAGAAAAAAAAAAGTAAAAGTAATAGCTGGTTACAAACTGTACAGTTCCGTATCTTGTAGTTGTACCATTATAATCAGCAATGTATAGGAAATACGCTTTCCTTTTTTTTCTGGAATATCAAATTTTCATTCCAAAATCTCAAACACATGTACAGTGGGCCAACCAAGGGGTTGGAAATATGTTTGTGCTTCACCTGTTCAGGCCTAGTACAAACACAAGGGAATCATACAACACCCCTACAGCCAAAAACTGGATCATAGCAAACTAAACAAAACAAAGACCCAAAATAAACATATACCTATACAAAAGATACTACACAAATAGGAAAAGAGGCCAAAAGAGAGCACATGTCCTCTACAACTATGACACTGCTCCAGGCTGGCCTATTTTTGCCAGAAATCAAGTTGAATAATTCCTTATCCCTGCAACAAATGGTTACATCGTGCCACCTAAGCTCCACACCCTTAAGTAATCCTTCTCTAATTCTCAGTAGAGTATTTTCCACTGAAAGAGTCTTGAATTCCTTCCTAGAAATACTCCACTTTGTGCTATCCTCTGCTTCAATTTGAGCAGTACACTTAACCACCCAAGGCTCTGGATCCAAATCAGTAACACTGAGATACATGTTATGCTCCCCTATTCCTTGACTTTTCTCCACATCCCTGGTATCATTTGTACTCCCCTCATACTTGGTGTGCAAATTTTCATACTCCATCCACTCACATCTTGCCCCCTCCACCAGCTGAACTTCAGATAAAGCTTCCCCCTTAAAAATCCAAGCATTTCTTGTTTTCCAAGCCCACCATAGCATATATGTGGACAAGGTTATTCTGTCTCTATTCTTGCCTGACCATTTCATATTACATAGTTCCTGCCACCAGACTTGGAAGTTGACCTGCTCTTGCTCCAATATTTTCCATTCCAAGCCTACCAATTTCCAGCACTTCTTGGCCCTCTCACATCTGAAGAATAGATGTTCAAGATCTTCCTCTACCTCTCCACACCAACAGCATATGGGCTCAACATTTACTCCTTTCTGTACCAGTTTTTTGCCAGTCCCCAACCACCCATGAAAATACCTCCATATAAAGTTTTTTATCTTTGCTTTAACAGGTAGTTTCCAAGTTCTATGCCATACCTGTTGTCTTCTGTTTTGGTTCATGCTTGGCCCAATATTACCTGCCTTCATCTTGAGATGCTCTTGAATTGTTTTGTATGCTTCCTTTTACTGAAAATTCACCCCTTTTATCTTTGTGCCATATTAGCCTATCCTTGTTCCCATACTTGCTGATGCTGATCTTGAGAATTTGTTCTGCAGCTTCTGGGTGGAATGTTTGAAGGATTAACTCTCTGTCCCATTCCTTTTATTCAGCAATCATCAGATCAGCTACCTTTTGCAACTTCAATTTATCATCTTCAAACCTGCACTGTGGAATAAAATTTGCAATTCCAGGTACCCAAGGAGACTCCCAAATGTTTATAGCATGCCCATTCCCCACTTGGTACCTCATCTCTAGTCTAAGGGACTGTCTACACTCTAACCAACATTTCCACACCCAAGAGTCTGTGATTTTCTTCTGGATAGTCAAAAAGTTTTGCCTGAAGAAGTATTTACCCCTCATCAACCTACTCATCAGCAGATTAGGCTTGGTAAGCATTCTCCAAATTTGTTTGAGAATTAAAGCCTCATTTAGCACCCTTAAATCTTTAAAACCTAACCCACCTTCTAACTTGTCATAAGCCAGTTTCTTCCAATTTGCCCAATGTATCTTATCCACCCCACTCTCATTTCTACCCCACCAAAAGGAAGCTATTTCTTTACTAATATCTGTACAAATCCCCACAGGGAGCATAAACACAGACATCATATAAATAGGTAATGCACTCAAAACTGTTTTAATTAGAATCTCCCTCACTGCCTCACTTAAGAGCTTATTTTCCCAACTAGAAATTCTATTCCTCACACACTCTTTAACAAAATGAAAAGTTTCTTTTTTATTTCTACCTATCCCCAATGGAAGACCTAAATACCTAGACTCATTGGCCATCACAATTCCATTGAAGGATCTACAGATTGTTGTTTTAACAGGATCTGGAGTATTTTTAGAGAAAAACACACTGGATTTATTGAAGTTAACAGCTTGACCAGAAGCAGCACAATAGGAATTAATAATATTCTGCAAAACAGTTGAGTGGTATTCATATGCTTGACAAAAGATAAGAGAATCATCAGCAAAAAATAAGTGAGAAATAATAGGGGCATGCTTGCTAATTTTCAGGCCTTTAAAAGCTAAGGAAGAACATGCCTGATTTATCAGATTGGAGAAAACTTCAGACATGATGATAAACAAATAAGGAGAAAGAGGATCCCCCTGCCTCAACCCCCTAGATGGCACTACATTACCTAGTAATTGACCATTAATATTAAAAGCAAAAGAAGAAGAGCTAATGCAGGACCAGATCCATTTAAGAAATTTCTGGCTGAAACCCATGTGCATACAAACTCTAATCAGAAAGCCCCACTTAACCCTATCATAGGCTTTTTCCATATCTAGCTTAATAGCCATAAAACAATATTTACCCTTGGAATGCTTATTTAAGAAGTGCAGACTTTCATTAGCTATTATTACATTATCCAAAATTTGTCTGCCAGGAACAAAAACAGCTTGATTTTGGGATATACAAACATAGAGATAGGCTTTGAGTCTATTAGCTAGGATCTTTGCTATCAATCTATAAGTAATAGTACAGAGACTAATTGGTCTGAAATCTGAAACTTTCTGGGGGTGTCTAATTTTGGAATAAGGGTGATGATTGTATGATTAGTAGCTTTAGGGATGCAACAAGTCTTAAAAAAATTTGTTACAGCAGCACACAGATCAGTTTTAATAATATGCCAGGTATTTTGGAAAAAAGAAGGAGAGAAACCGTCCTTACCTGGTGCCTTTCCTGGATCCATATCCCATAGAGCAGCCTTGATTTCTCCCTCATCCACCTCTCTTGTTAATGTCTGAATCATCTCTGTAGTAATAGATCTTGGAATACCCCTCAGGATTTCATCATTAAAATCAGGGTTCTCAGAAGCAAACAATCTTTCAAAATACTGCTCTATCTCCTTTACTGATTCTTGCAGATTCTGGCATTTCTCACCTGACATCTTTACCAATTGCTCCAGTCTATTTCTGCATCTTCTCTGTCTCACACATGCCTGGAAAAACTTAGTATTTTTGTCACCCTCCCTCAGCCAGCTCACCCTTGACTTCTGCTTTCAATAAATCTCCTCCTCAAGGTAGGCTTTGTGAAGCATTTCTTTGCAATCCTTCCACTCCTCCCAGTCTCTTCCCCCTCCCTGCAGCCCCATTGCCTCAAGTTTTGCTGTACACACCTTTATCAGATTAGCTGAATTAGTATTGCTCTGAGTTGCCCATCCTATTAGTCCTAGCCTCACATTCCTCAGCCTCTTTTGGAAATTATACAGACCCCTTCCTTGAACCTCCACATCCCATGCACTTTTCACACATTCCTCAAAACCAGACATCTTTGCCCATCTGCTGTAAAAAAAGAACCTTTTCTTCCTCCTATGTTCTAAAGTGTCAGATGTCAACAGTAACATACAATGATCTGATGAAAACATAGGGATGTGTAGGACAGAAGAATTTGGAAAAGTCATAAACCACTCAGGGGAAAGAAATACCCTATCTAGCTTCTCTTCAACAAATTAGGACCCTGGTCTATTATTAGACCATGTGAATGGGTGCCCAACACAGGGGCAGTCTACAAGGTTAAGAACCTCAGTAAACCTCCTGAAGTTGTGAAAAGAAGACTGACTTCTCACCACACCTCCCTGCTTCTCCCTATTACTCAGAATATCATTAAAGTCCCCAGCTACAAACCAAAGACTACCCCAGGTAAAATGGCGTCTGATCAACAGGTCCCATTGATCATTCCTAATAGTAGGGTTCACACTAGCATAGACAAAAATAGCCCACATTTTATCCAACATACCCGTTTTCCTAAAGCAGACTTCTAAACAAAACTGGGATTTGATAATTTCTATGACAGAAATATCTTCAGACCAAGTCAAAAATAAACCACCTTGATTGCCAATGGGATTGACTGCAACCCATCTATTATCAAAATGAAGTTTTTTACAAACAGTTTTAATAAAAGCTTCCTTTTTTCTAGTCTCAGACAAAAAGGTAAAATCTGGGAGGTAGGATTTATACTTATCCTTCAATTGGGAAATTGTAGAGGGTCCCCCCAAACCTCTACAATTCCACACCAACACTTTCATTTATCATTTTGGGACCATTTAAGGCTGGTCTCCCCCACCATTTTAGAAAACATGTCATCAGAAGTTTTTTGTTTTTTACTGTTTAAAGACTCTGAATTGTCCTGTTCTAATCCTACCACATTACATTCTTCCCCCTTTCTCTTGGATCCAACTACATTATCCTGATTATTCTCCTCCCTCACATCCCTACCCCCAGGTTTAGTCTTACCCCCTTTTGATGTGCTTTTGGTAATTCTAGTAAGAAGCTTGGTCTGCCTGATAAGGGCAGTTTTATGGTGATCCTGTTGGAAAACAACAGGCACATTAACAAGCTTACCACTGGACCTCTCTGGAGTATTCTCAACATCAAGGTCCATTCTAGTCACCATTTGTTGGCTAGAATAGCCAGCACACTCATTTCCAACCTGGCTCAGGTGATTTATGCCCTGAATGCTTTGGTCAGGTTCAGTTCTATCACCTATCTCACTCTCCTTAGGGATATAGTCAGCATGACTCAACCCAACATTATTTACTTGTTGAGATTCCTCAGGACTAACCCTCTTCTCAGCCTGGGGAGTTATATTAGAGTTGGAGATTTCTCTATTCCTTACAGGACTAGAGGCTCTCATCTCCCTCTGCTCATTTGATCCCCCAGAGATACCCCTCAACCATTCCCCAAATTGTCCTGCCCTAAACACATCCCTTTGTACATCCAATTTTTTTATCTCACATTGTTTGTCACTGTGACCTATCATTCCACAATAGAAACAGAAGGTTTGAAGGTTCTCATACCTGAAATCGACCCAGTGTTCTTCTTCCCCTAATTTCAGCATTGTCCCTCTGAGTATAGGTTCCAACAGGTTAATTTCGGCTAAAATCTTCACAACACGCCCATTTAAGCCTCCCACTCCCAGGACTATGACATTTTGCACTTTGCCAAATAGTTTTCCCACTTTTATTCCAATTTCATGTGAAATCCAGTGGATAGGTAGGTTATGAACCTGCACCCATAGCTCCACCTTCATCTCCTCCTCTTTGAAGAGTGATTCATTTAGCAGCATATACTGCCCATCAAATGACCATGTTTTCCCCCGCAGCACTTTGATCTTATCTTCATCCGATTGGAACATAAATTGGAATAAATTTAACCCCAGTATTCTGATGGAAAAAGGTTTACTCGTTCGCCAGATAATCCCCATCGTAGTCTTTATACCCCCGATGTTAACTTTCTTCTCCCCCACAACCAGCCCAATTAAACTTCTCTCACACTCCTGAAGACTCGGCTCTACATCCGTGTCTGATAGCTGAGCACCCAATTTTTCTTTATCAGAAAGTTCAAACTTTCGCAGCTTCTCAGTAATCTCCGCATCCATCGCTCCAGAGAGAATCAGACTTTACTCGTGAAGAGATGAGGGAAAAACCTTCGGCTCTGCAGAATATCACAGAAAAAGCACCAGTTAGACAGCGGAAACCTAATGGCCCCAGCTACCCAACCCCCGATCAGAACCCTAATCGAAAGAGAAGCCTGAGACCCTAAGACCCCAAAACCACCCCCGGAAAAACAAGAAATAAAAGAGGTAAGAAGCTAGATTAAGGAAATGAGAACGGGAAAGGAAGCAATTGATAATCTCCTCAAGGAAATTGCGACGATGGCCAATACTCTAGATAGAGAGGGATTTTTCCGTAGGGAAAGGATTTTTCCACAGTCGGTGGAACCGTACAAAATACGCTTTCCTCAAACCAGCAAAAGTCTTACATTAAAACCACAATACCCATCAGTTGTAGGTTTGAACAAATTATATTATATATTAATAATTAATAATTTAGGTTTAGGCATTCCATAAATATTATTTAGCTAACTTAGGTATTTTAATATCAATTGTACTAATATACCCTTTAATTCTTTATAATTTTAGATAGTGAATCACTACGTAACTAATATATCCCTGACTTTTGATTTGTTTCCTACAATTGGCTATTGAATTGTAAATGTGTTTTAAAAGTTGATAACTTTTATATTTCTTATCAGTTTTACATATATAATATATTAAATTAACCATCTTTTGATAATCTTCGATTTGACATTCATATTGTATATATAAAATAAATAAATTATATTTATCTTTAAAATAATAAAAAATAATAATATTTACTAAAATTCATTAGGAAAATAAAATTGTTTCTCAATTGATATGTTTATGTTTAATGTAGTTATATATTGTAAGTTAAAAAATCCCTCCTATATATTAATACAGAACGCGCTGAGCCTACGTGGCTGCTTCTGGTGCTTCGGAATCCTATGTGGCAAAATTACATGCTTCGTTATTAGGCTTGGATAAATTTTAATTTAATTCCAAACCAAAAATAATTAGGTTCGGATTACCATAAATATGTTGATTATTTATGGTCATGTTACATGTATTAATTATATTTTAATATCATTCCTTATTATAAATATTGAATTGTATATATATTGGCTTGGGTCTCTTCCAGCTTAACCAGTGGTCTCGTGTTCGAGCCCTGGGAATGCAGCAGTGTTAAAACTCTTGAGGGAGAGCTTTGCCGCCCTTGTGGTCCTACCCGGCTCGATTCCGGATTAGTCGGCTCCCCTGTGGATCCGAAAACCGAAAGGTCCCTGTACCAAAAAAAAAGTTAATAACTTTTGTATATTTTATCAGTTTTACATGTGTAATATATCAAATTAATATTCTTTTGATGAGCTTCGATTTAACATCCATATTGTATGTATAAAAAATAATTTATATTTATCTTTATAACAATCAAGGTTTTAAATAGCGGGCTAAAACGTTTATGACACTGTAGCTATAGCGGAGCTATAGCGGAGATTTAGCGGGATTTAGCGTCTAAATTGCACATGAATACAAATAGCGGCACGCTGCCAAAAAAAGTTATTTCTCAAATAGCGGCAACTTTAGCGAGCTATTTATTTCCTTGATAACAATAATAAAATTATTTTTAATATTAATTAGAAAAATAAAATTATTTATCAACTAACATATTTATATTTCAAGTAGTTATATGACATAAGTTATAACAACTAATATAATATAACACATGTAAGTTATAAGTAACACATATCATTCTAAAATAAATAGTAATATATTCTTTCTTATAAAAAAGTAAACTAAATTTAATATAGTTTTCTCATTAATTTTAAAATTTAAGAATAATTTTTTAACAAGCACCCGTGTAATACACGGGTGTTGTACTAGTTATTATAATATAACAGAAATAAGTCGCACAAATAAAAATTCATACTAAATATAATAATATAAATATTTTTAAAAGGTATTTAAATTTTCAACTACCTTTCTCAGTAATTTTAGATTTTAAGAAAAAAATTAGCATACACCCGTGTAATACACGGGCGTTGTACTAGTTATTATTATTATTATAATACACAGTAAATGGAGCCTCAATTATTGGCATCGATTAGTTTTATGAAGTAACCTGCTTTTATTGTGAATGAAAAAAATTAAAAAATTGCACTAGTCTTTCCGAGTTTTATATGCTCGTTGACAGACAATAACAATTGAGAATACAATACAATACAATGGAAAAAATAAATAACTTTGCCAAAAAAATTATGTTGCCTGCCTGGTTTCCAAGTTCAATAAACTTTGATGTTGGGATTATTACTCAAGTCCTCCTTTCGTAGTTTGTTCTCATCGACATTTAGCGAAACATGAATCTGAAGCACCACTTCCCCAAGGCACTTCTCTTGTTCCTCTAATATATTATTTGCAGAAAGCACCACTGAGTCGGCACACCTCCACACCCTGATCTCCCTAAGCGTGGGTATATCCCCAATTCCCAATGGGATCTCCTTCAGCTTATATAGCCCACCCAGTTCGAGCTGCTCGAGACGCGGAAAGTGCGTGGCCTCCGCTCTCCAATGTTTCAGATCATTTTTGCTCCAGATTTCCAAGTATTTCAGGCTAAGGAACCCCCCCTCGTCTGTTTCCCACTCGGGCCCCACAAATGCATTATTATATAGCTTGAGGGCCTCGAGATATGGCAACGACCCTATCTTTGTGTTGGATTTCTGGTTTCAAAATTACACGGGAATCCTACGAACTGATATGTATTTTCAGTTCTTACAAATAATCTAAAATAGAAAATTACAATTGAAATGAAAAATAAATTACAACTGAAAAAGGGAAAGATTTTAGCCGAGGCGAGTAAAAGTACTCTTTCCGCAAGAAGAATACGCCC